CAAAAGAATTTCTAAGAATATTAAAGTATGGTGGTGTTTTTGTGTTCTGACACCTCAGGGCCTCCGTATCAAAGTACTCAGGGTGTTTAATATTACAGGAATGAACACTTCTTTAACAATCATTTAATTTTTTCTAGCTCTTGAATAAAACATTAGGTTCTAATTTTATTCAAACTCCCTCTAATTTTACAACAACTTAAAAAGAGAATGTTTTAGGATAACTTTTGTTGGTATATGGATAAGATAAACCATCCTCTTTGACATAAACTGAAAGGTTAAATAATTAAAGGTATGTTAAAGGTGGAGGAAAGCAGTGAGAGTGGAAAAATACTGTTCAGCTTATAGAGACACAATATCTGAGACAGTTATTCTTCATAGGATTGAGTTGGATAATGCAACAGTCTGTAACCTAGTTGATTAACATAATAGAGCAACAGATTAAGGTTTGGAGACTCACATTTCCTATCAGGTAATATATGTACATGTGATACCACATATCTCTACTGATGTCATGTGAGACAGTTGAGACCATAAGCTTTTATAGGAAACAGATTTTATACAGCTTTTCTTCAAAACAAACGTTCATGATTCAATGCTCTTTTTTGTTCCATGACCCATTGTTATGGGGAATGAACCTCAGCACTGATTTCTGTAATTATTCCTCAAAGACCAAAGGGTCATCGCTCTTACTGTGGATCGCTTCTGGGTTCAAAGAGCTTATAGGAGACGCAAGAGTGTTTGACTGTAGATGGAAAGTCTGGCCAATGAGAGTTTAAATGCTTAGGCCATTTTGTGAAGCTGCTAACTTGCACAGGTTTGGTCTGTGATGTAAAATTTTCTATCTTAAATAATATTCTTAAAGCAGCAGTATTTATTTATAAGTTTGTGTTTAATAAATATGATGGTAAACCATCATGTTAATTGCTTCAATGTAAGTATGCTGTTAATCTAAAGACTAACCAAATGTTTTTTATTTTTTTATGAACAGTTTGGTTAGTCTTTGCACAGTTGTTCTGAAAACATTAGAGTAACCCACCTGATGATTTCAAAGTTTAACAAAGTCAAAAGAAATTTGTTGAGCCTCCTCATAGCTTTTTTCCCCATAGCAAAAGGCATCAAAAATAAACAAATTATCAGTGGAGCCCAATTATTAACAGGTATGTTAATAGCGAGCAAAATGCCTCAATATAAAACAGATAATGCTTCCTTAGTATTCTGGACATTCAGAACATTTTTGATCCATTTCCTTTTGTGTTTATGCTTTTGAGACTTAGAGAAAATGGTTTCCAGTTGCTTTTAGATTCAGAAATCAAACAGGACCTTTGAAATACTCCCAACTGTATTACCTTTGATGTTAGTTTTTTTGTAAGATTTGCCTTTATCTTAACTTGGCATCTCCCCTCAATGCACTCTCCCACCAAGATGATGCAATTCAACCTGTTGTATTTTCTATTTTTCTAGTCCTTTTAATAGTTAGAACAAACGTAATTTGCCCTGAATTCAGTTCCTGCTTTCCAATTCTGATAACCTATCCTTCCAAATCCATTTTAGAAGTAGTGCTATAATTAAGAAACGGATTCTGATTCTGCTTTAACACCAAATGAAAGGAATGGAGATATTGATTACAGTCATTGTCAATTAGTCCCTTCACTATATGATTCTCTATTATTCATCCACTGAATTTATTTTGCTTTATTTCAGCTTATATTATGTCAGCTGAATTTAGATGAAAATTTAATTAGATGTTTTTAAATGTAAAGTTTTCTGACAATCAGAATGTGCCACATTTTCCTGCCTTTATCCACATTTTGCCATTTAGGATATTGATATTAAGGGCAGAGAAAATTTGTGATAAATGTTGGGGGTCCACACTCCCTTCTTAGTGTGAATATAGGCTAAAATGACTTACTAAAACCTATGCAAACAGCAGCAAAAGATAATTTATCAAAGATTATAATGTTTTAACGTTGGGAAATTGGGGTAATAGTTGCACTTAGAATCTGATAAAGAAAAATGTAACTTGGCTAAATAAAACAGGGCAACCATTTGCTAGAGGATGTAAAAAGTGAGTTTAAATCTGAAATGACCCATTACTTTGTTAAAGGAAAGCTTTCTCTCTTCGGTTCGTTTTTCTGGAAAGAGATCACTCGGGACAAACTCTTTAAATAACACCTAACAACTTTAAAGGTAGTAGGTATTTTTAGCCATATAACAAACCTTTACATAGATTATTATTATTTTGAGTGTGGTTCATCATTGATCTTTTGGAGGATGAAAAAAGACTCACAATGAAAACTGTTAGCAAAATCTTATGTGCTGCCAGCGCTGATATAATTAGGGTGTTTTAAATTCTGGATCAAAGCAGCAGAAAATCAAAGCAGCAAATGAAAATATCCATAGGAAGCAATACTGGCAAACATATGTAAGATTGATTTTGTTTAATAAAACAAAACCGTCTTAATTGTGATGGGAATCACAATTTACACAGATACAGGTGCTGGTCATAAAATTAGAATATCATGAAAAAGTAGATTGATTTCAGTAATTCCATTTAAAAAGTGAAACTTGTATATTATATTCATACATTACATACAAACTCATATATTTCAGATGTTTATTTTGTTTAATTTTGATGATTACAAATGACAACAAATGAAAATCTCAAATTCATCATATCAGAAAATTAGAATATTACTGAAGAACAATAAAAACAAAGGATTTATAGAAATGTTGGCCAACTGAAAAGTATGAACATGAAAAGTATGAGCATGTACAGCACTCAGTATTTAGTTGGGCCTCCTTTGGCCTGTATTACTGCAGCAATGCGGCGTGGCATGGAGTCGATCAGTCTGTGGCACTGCTCAGGTGTTATGATAGCCCAGGTTGCTCTAATAGTGGCTTTTAGCTCTTCTGAATTGTTGGGTCTGGTGTATTGCATCTTCTTCTTCACAATACCCCATAGATTTTCTATGGGGTTAAGGTCAGGAGAGTTTGCTGGCCAATTAAGAACAGGGATACCATGGTCCTTCAACCAGGTACTGGTAGCTTTGGCACTGTGTGCAGGTGCCAAGTCCTGTTGGAAAATGAAATCTGCATCTCCAAAAAGTTGGTCAGCTGCAGGAAGCATGAAGTGCTCTAAAACTTCCTGGTATGTGGCTGCGTTGACCCTGGACCTCAGAAAACACAATGGACCAACACCAGCAGATGACATGGCACCCCAAACCATCACTGACTGTGGAAACTTTACACTGGACTTCAAGCAACGTGGATGAAGTGCCTCTCTTCTTTTCCTCCAGACTCTGGGACCTTGATTTCCAAAGGAAATGCAAAATTTACTTTCATCAGAGAACATGACTTTGAACCACTCACCAGCAGTCCAGTCCTGTTTCTCTTTAGCCCAGGCAAGACGCTTCTGACGCTGTCTGTGGTTCAAGAGTGGCTTGACACAAGGAATGCGACAGCAGAAACCCATGTCTTTCATACGTCTGTGTGTGGTGGTTCTTGAAGCACTCACTCCAGCTGCAGTCCACTCTTTGTGAATCTCCCCCACATTTTTGAATGGGTTTTGTTTCACAATCCTCTCCAGGGTGCGGTTATCTCTCTTGCTTGTACACTTTTTTCGACCACATCTTTTCCTTCCCTTCGCCTCTCTATTAATGTGCTTGGACACTGAGCTCTGTGAACAGCCAGCCTCTTTAGCGATGACCTTTTGTGTCTTGCCCTCCTTGTGCAAGGTGTCGATGGTCGTCTTTTGGACAACTGTCAAGTCAGCAGTCTTCCCCATGATTGTGTAGCCTATAGAACTAGACTGAAAGACCATTTAAAGGCTTTTGCAGGTGGTTTGAGTTAATTAGCTGATTAGAGTGTGGCACCAGGGGCCATCAATTTTGAACCTTTTCACAATATTCTAATTTTCTGATATGATGAATTTGAGATTTTCATTTGTTGTCATTTGTAATCATCAAAATTAAACAAAATAAACATCTGAAATATATGAGTTTGTATGTAATGTATGAATATAATATACAAGTTTCACTTTTTAAATGGAATTACTGAAATCAATCTACTTTTTCATGATATTCTAATTTTATGACCAGCACCTGTACGTAGTTCTCAAAAGGCTCTGATAAACTATAATTAAAAAAGCTTAACCTTTATGCATCAAATACAGTTGTGCTCAGTTTGTTGCTATTATAACTGAAAAAGCAAAAAAATTAACCAGTTTTATTTACAAAAAAAAATAAAAAATCAGTGTAGCCACTAATTTAGGTGTTAGAAAATTCACCAGCACCGAGGTTGAATTGGCAAAAATTTTACATCAAATTATTTAATAATAATGCATCAAACAATTTCCTGTTCACAGACAAATTTAGAACAGATTGATTTAACATCTTAGTTGATCAATTGGAGGCTTACCTTGGAGGCCAGGACTACTTTTGGTCATTTGTTAGCAATGAAATCTAGAAAACAAATACGAAAGATGGGTTCCATAAAGGCTTTGTCCAGATTTTCTTAGCATCCATATGCTCCTCTCACTAAATTACAATTCCTTTTTTTGTAGTCAGCAAAATTTCATAATTTCAATGATTGAATGAATACTACTTTCTTCTAGATCATTGCAGAAAAAGTAGATATTATTGTTTCTGTGCTCAAAAATGCTAAACCAGAGATTTTTTCCTTTTAAGAATAAAACCTTAATGTTCACTGCAGCTTTCCCATTACTGCCTAAGATTATTTAATCAGAACATTTTTATGTTTTAGCTATATATTTCTTTTACTTTCATTTTTTTACCCTTCATTTCTATAAACATTTTGTTGCATTCTTGGTGTTAATAAATGTTTTAACCTCTGTCCCTTTATTTTTCTGTGCAGGACTTTTAATTACCTTGCATTTGAATGGTGCATAGTAATTGGCGAACGAGGCTTTAAATTGATTTATCTAATAAAAAAGCTTTTATTATCAGCAAGTGATAATTAGGCAGGCAGAAAAGATATACCGGTAGTTAAAATATATTGTTTATTTAATATCTGTGCAGTTGCTGCAAAGAGTTCCCATGTTCCTCTAAATAAAATGCACCAAGAGATTCTAGAGGGTTTGTTTTTTATTAGAACAATTAAAATAAAGAGATAAAATCTTTATAAAATCCATCACTGAAAGCAACAGATAAAACTTGAAAAGGTTTGAAGCATAGAATCAGAAGCAAAGTTTGAGATAAGGAAATAATGAATGAGGTTGAAGGTTGGAGGCAGAAAACAAATGCACCGAATTGGTCTGAAGCATCTAAAGTCATACAAGGCAGCTGATTTTCAGCAATGTTTTTTGAATGTTCTCCTTCAGCTGGAGGTTATACCTGGACGTTATGTGCATGTTCTTTGCTCTTTAGCCGTACAGACTTGACCAATGTCCCATTTCCAGACCAGCCAGAGCTGGTCGCTTGCTGCATAAGGCGTTCAGGGTCTGTGCTACTTGAACGCATGGGACTGTTTGTTCTATGTCCTACTGTTTGCATGCACACCTTTACTTTCTGCGGTAGTCGGCCGCATAAGCTCTGTGGTCGTCCTGTTCAGGGAAGCGGTCTCCATAGCTCCTTAGGATATCCTGGAGGCTGGGCATCCCCTGCGAGGGAGGTGTATAAGCCATATATGGCTCCTCCTGACCGCTCTGGTAGGGCTCAGCCTCATACTGGTCCTGTTCATTTGGCTCGGACTCTCCGCCCCGGCTGTGGTCCTGCCCGTTGTGATGTTCGGGCTGGGGCTGCTCTGGCTCGTAACGACGCAGGCGGCAGTCAGGGTCATACTCTGGGTCACAGTGAGGATTCTCTGGCTCCAGGATACCGCTGCGTGGGCCCTCTGGGTTCTGGGATGGTTGATAGGCCTCCGCAGGGTAAGGAGTATGACGAGGAGCTCCGGAGCGAGGTTGGCTGGGCCTTACTGGAAAGCATTCACTGTCGTAACCAATGTAACAATCATAGCCTTCTTTGGTTTTACCTGGTGGTCCCAGAGGGTGACGCTCCTCCTGGGTCGGCTCCTCATAACTGGGATTGGAAAACGGGTACTGCTGACGGGGTGGGAGAGAGCTCTGACGATTCATGGCATCCCGGAGAGCGGAGTAAGGATCATTGGGGTTAGATTCAGGAGCAGACATGCGAGGGGCGTACGGGTCATTATCCTGAGCTTGGGACATGAACTGGCGGAAAATGTTGTATGGATCAGTAGACTGAGGAGCGGATGGGTTTGGCTGCTGCCGGTACATTGCATATGGATCAGTAACTCTGTTAGCATTAGCATAAGCATCTCTAAACATGGCGTAGGGGTCATTCTGCTCAGCAGGAGGAGGAGCTGCACGAATAGATGCAGCTTCATCTCTTTCACCGCCTCTGTATTCCTCTGGGGGAGACGAGAACCTGGTGGCTGTCAGAGGGTTGCAGTTGTCTTCAAAAAGAGGGTTGCAGGATCCGGGCCCGGCATGGGCCGGGGGGTTGGGAGCACGAGGAGCCTGAAGGAGGGGGCCAAAGTAAGTACTAATACTGAGAATATGAACGAGAAGTGAAATTTAGATGGTATGGTAAATACTTACCATTAGAGAGGCTCCATAGGCACAGTAAGGGTCCCGTTGAGGATCACAGTTGGGGTACTGAAGGTAGAGACCCGAAGGGGCCTTTTGAACTAGTTTAGGGGTGCAGGAAGGGTCTTTCTTGGGGTCACAACCCAGATGGCTGTAGGATGGGAGGGGCCCAGCAGAGGGACGATAACCATAAGCAGCTCTGAGGTGGTACTGCAGACACTCCACATCATCAGCAGAGCAGATGCGCAGCAGCTCAGCCTTCTGCTCCTGAGTCAATGAGATACAGACGCGGAAAAAAATCAGTTTGAACAGTGAAAATCAATCCCAATTATTCTTTTAATAAGAGACCTCACAAGTCTTCCCTGCTTTGATTTTGACTTTCAAATTAAGCTGAAACTGCCAACGCAGTTTAGCAGACAATATGTTTGCATAATTAAAACACATAATCTTACCCTGGTAAGGAAAGACACTGCAGAGGGAGAGTAATAATAATGTCCTGATGCTGGGTCCTTTGCTTGAGGAGCAGCACGAACATACAAAGGAGCAGGAGCCTTTGCTGGAGCTGCAGGGGCAACCGAGACCACCAGAGGCATGTAGGGGCTCTTACCCTGGGATAGAGCCATATACAAGCAGTGAGCATCCTTTGTCGGGTCACATGTTTTCATGGGTGCTGGTTTAGGGGGCTCTGGTTTGGATTGAGGCCTGGCTGTGTAAGATGCCACGCAGCTGGGATCATCTGAGTCAGCACAGGACTTGTATATCTCCCCCAAGTGGCGCAGGTAGGCTCTGTAGGAACGACGCGCCTCAGCGCGGTTCTTGTTCTGGAGATAGGCCAGGTAGATCTTGTCCATTTCCTGAACCTGGGAAGGTGCAAGTTAGTGGTTACTAAAAAGAAATTAAGTAGGAAAATTAGACATTAGGAAAGTGGATCAGTCTTGCAAGAGCTTTCTTTAAATGGCTGAAGGGGTGAGGAAAAAAGAATGTCCTGGGTTTGATTCCCAGTCTGGGGTCTTTCCACAAGGAGTTTGTATGTTCTTCCCATGTCTGTCTTGGTTCTTTCTGGATACTCCAGCTTCCTCCCACAACATGGCTGTTATCTTTAAATTGCCCTTTGCTGTGATAGCGTGCATGACTTTATGTCTATGTATTGCACCACAATAGACTGGCGACCCTTCCAGGGTATACCCCAGCTTTTGGCCAAAGACTGCTGTCGATTAGCACCCTGATAGATAAGTGGCAGAAGATGGAACATAATGCAATCAGGTATGAATTATTGTATGTATCTGGTCACTAAAACAGGCAGAAAATAATACAGGGAATTCCTAAAAGCACAGTTTTTGGCAACACACATTAATGCCATAAGGCTATTGATGTAACAAACATAAGTTATGTTAGTTATTTCTAAAAAGATCCTGGGAAATGGCTTCACATAGACTTTTTATATATATATAACAAAGAAATGTCTTCATTTTATAAGGTGGAAACCTTACTTTTATTGTAATCAATGGATTAAGATAAAATGGGAGAATTTGCAAAGTGCTAAAGGAACACAACATTGAGACAGCTGGTTGAGCAGCTGGTTGCTATGGTACTCCCGTATTTTCTGAAAAGAAGGAAAGTCGGGATTCCCAATAAACAGCATTGACCAGAAAGTCTAAAAATTAGGTTAAGACTAAAATAAACACGTATTTGTGTAAGTAAAAGGTTACCTCTCCCAATTACACATGTATGATTGTATGACTCTGCAGTTTTTCATGGAGGACAGAAATGCCTGTTTTAAGAGATCATTTTATAGAAGGGCATTTAGGTCTGTGTCTCTATGTTGTTTTGTGACAGACCCCTGTGTTCAAAACAACAAAAGAAAACTCAGATCACTCAAAAAAACCTTCACTGGCCCTTGCTCTAAAATTATTATTTTAAATCAAAACTGCATAACAAAAATTAGCTGCTTAGAAACCTTAACCTTTTAAAACCTTTCTTAACCTTGATAACAAAAGCCAACCCATGAGTGACACAGACAGAATAAATCACTTGTTTATTTTATCTATTTAGGACTATTTTGCTATATTTACCAGTCTTCTGAGGACCAGCGGGCCTTATGGGGACCAAAGGCCGGCCCTAATGTGACAGATCCCCCATTTTCAATGTTAGAGATTCAGCTCAGAGGTATGGTATGAATTAATGTTAAACTTAGGCTAGGGTTAGGAATATACTGGCAATAGGTTAGAGTAAGGGTCATGGTTAGGCTATAGAAATGGGTTAGAAATTAATGGAAGTCAATGAAAAGGCCCTGCAAAGATAGATGCATATGTGTGTGTGTTAAACTCACTGCCTCCTGGTTGCCGTTGTCTGTAAAGTACTTATACCAGGCCCAGAAGTCAGAGTGTTGTTTGTACCAGCTGATATTCCTGCGGTTACGGATCAGCCTCCTGTGTAAAGCTGCAGCTTCTGCCTTTTCCTGGATACTTGCCCCCACTGAGAAATAACCCAGACAGAAGGCCATGAGTCAGACTCGTCTGGGCATTTTAAGTATTTGATAAGACACTTCATGACCTAAAGCTGTTTGTCTATTCTAGTTCAAATATAGAAATATCGCTGTTTTTATTAGGGCTTTTATGTAATAGAACAACTTAAACTAAGGCTAACAAAGGTTGAACAAAAATAAAATTTTATGAATATATAAAACACATAATGTACAATTATATTTAGCTGATATTTACTTTGATGCACCTATATCCAGCCTAATTAATTTCACTTAAGGTTCTCCTAATTAGTAAGTGGAGTCCAGCTGGGTGTAATTTAATCTCAGCTTAAATCATGCTCACCTTGTAGACACAAAAAGTCACAGATAGAGTTGTGGAAAGGCAGGGTTAGCTTATCAAAAATAACCCAATCTTAAGATCTCAAAGATCTTCTCCTTTAAGTCCATCATCTGGAAATGGAAAGGAGGTGGCACAACTACAGACCTAAAAGAAACGACCGCCTAACCAAGGCTAACAGAAGAGGAAAGAAGAAAAGTAACCAGAGAACCAGTTAAGAGGCTCAACGTGTCTCCGGAGGAAGTGCTGACATCCACCGCCTAATGTTTACTACCTGCTCACAGAACATCTATTAGTCATGTTCTTACAGGTCTTTGTAGAAAAGAGGAAGGCTGCCTAAATACAGAATTACTTGGCCAATAATGCCGACCATCCTTATGGTGAGACACAGTGGTGGCTGCTTCATGCTTTGGGGAAGCCCTTCTAGGGCAGAAAAAAGGAAGAGTTGATTTAAAGATTTATGGAAGTAATAAGAGGGTAACTTTGGAAGCAAAATCTTTAGAAGATGCCACATTTAGACTGTGACAAAGTTTAGAGCATAGAGACTAAGATATAAAGGAAAGGGCTTGCTTTACAGCATTTCCTCCAGCTGAGAATCTATAGTAAAGCTTGAAAACTGATGGCGACTGATGGTGTTCCTTTAATCTGGCGTCGGTTGAGCTTTTTCTAGCAAAGATATACAAACATTTTAGCATCTATATGCACTGATTGAGGGACTGATTATGAAAGCATGGAACAAATTGCTTTGGTCTGTTGCATAAAATCGAAATAAAATACAATACAGTATCTGGTGTAATGTAACAGGCAAGGCCTGCATTTTAAGGGGAAATGGCAGACGTAGCTGACATATTTACCATCTCCTTTAGACCTTTGGCGTACAGGCCCTGCAGACGAGAATGCTGCAAACAGAGAAAAAAGCAAAAGTAAATGACATATCCAGAAGTTAGTTGGCTAAACTTTGCTAGCTTTTTCTTTTAAGGATTTATAATTTGTCTTTAATGCAATGATAATATGACATTAAACCTCAAACACCTAGGGGCTCATATCATTCATGGAGTGGGCCAGGAGTAATTGGCTCTGCCTGAAGCTGAATCGGCAGCTCTTTGTAGATTTTATAGGGACGCCTGTAACATCTAGCCTCCTGTTGCGCGTCCAAAACGCTGTATGTGCACAGACCTATCTTTGTCTGTGTGCACATGTGTATCGCACGGTGTGACCCCCATATGCAGAGGGGAAAAGCAGAATTAGCTCTGCTCCTGATCTCTTTCATCTCCCTGGGGGAAAGGTGTTAATCCCTTACAGGGGGGAAGGAGAAAGAGGAATAAAAAGATCCAAAGATTCAGGATGACGTGGCCGAGGTCCAAAGCGGAGAAAACATCAATAAATGTTCAGAGTTGAGGAGAAGGTTTGATGAAGAAGGCCAGGAGGTGCAGATGAAAGCTAAATTAAAGGGAAGGTGACCTGAGGTGATGTGGTGATGTGGAGAAAGGGGGGTGGGGGTGGGGTAGCTTCTGTGTATCCGCTGGATTGTTTTTTATGAGCTCGTAAAAATGAGAGAAAAAAGCATTTTGCACATCTGGAAATAGCTGAGCTTTAAGAGCAGAGCAGGAGGTGATGCTGACAGGTACTGATTTTTTAACGGGAGCAGGAATGATGAAAGGAAGCCCTCTACCCCACCCCCTTTCACTCCTCCTTGGTTAAACTGGCTAAAACACTTTTAAAAAGAAGAAAACTCCCGATCAAGTCAGGGGCTCAAACTGGAAACAGGTGGCATAGGTGCTGAAATGTTTACTAGTGATTTATGAACATCAGAGATATGCCTTCGAGTCGGGGCGTGATTAACGAGCAGCGTGCTGAGGCGACGACATGGAGGTCAAGAGCCTTTACACACAGGACCTTGAGACGTACTAGTTAAAGATATGAAACTCATCATTAATTTAGAAGATTTAAAGAACTATATATGATTAAACTAAGAAAATGGCCTTGCTGGTAATTGTTCCCAAATCTGTGTAATGTAGCCAGGAAATCAGATCAGATAAAAAGCTAATCTTTAAATGCAGCGACATAATCCCACAATGAAAACTCTAAAAGAGACTTCAGAGGCGGAGAATAACGATCTTAATAAATAATAAAATAAATGTTTTTCAAGGCATATACTGGCACTCCAAACAAATCCAAAAGTAAAACTACTAATAAAGCATTATTTATTTATTTATTATTTTGCCAGAACCTAAATGTAGATATGAAAATAATTGAATTCAGAGGCAAAAGTGGTAATATTCCCCCTTTGCACAGGAAATCTGCCCTTAGACCAACACTAAGTAAATTTTCAACCTTCATATAATATTTTTCTAACTTTTGTGATAGTCAGTCGACTTAGTTAAACGTTTCTTATTTTAAACATTGTCGTTTGACATTGTTCCCCCACAGTTAGATTTATTACTTCATTGCTATTCATCTTTCACACATTCATTAAAAACAGAAATGTTGTTCAACCCAACTGCAGGCGACCGGGAGTTCATGATTTTACCACACTATGGGCTTTACCAGGCTGGTCCTCATGGAAAATGCTGTCTAATTTCAGGAAAAACAATACAGCTTTTCTCTACTGGGGGGAGCCAAACTCAAAAGTTCTTTAGTACTGCTTTAACACCTCAAGGAAACCAAACCAATGACTCTTTACCACTGAAGTTAACGGGTTAACGCAGGTTTTTCAAACATTTGGCTCTCTTCCCTTTAGCAAAAAAAATTACATCTGACCCCTCGCTAGCAAGCTGGCTGGCCTCTGTTCTACCGCCATTAAGTGTCTTGTGTCTCGTGACGCCAGTATGCTGGTTATGGTTGATGATGCCATCAGTACAACAGAAATCAGGAAAGTAAACGACAGAGAGCAACATGTAAGGAAGCCAGGGCTTAGTAAGTCTGCTTTATTGTTTTGTTCTTTGTCCATCTGATTCTCTCCTACCAGTGCTGCACCATTTTTTATTGAATGTAAGCAGATTTGTTTTGGTCTGTCATATCAGACACGACTGGTGCAAGGTTGTTCAATGATATCATGTAAATTATCGGGTCGACCTGGGTCTTATATTCCCACTGTATGCCGATCAGAGCCAAGCAGTTTGAAGATCATTTTAACCCAGGTCGCTTAAGCCGCTTTCCCGCTGAAAACCTGGGTTTTTAAAACAATCGGGTTTTGGCTCTTTTCCCATTTGATCAAAAAGCCGAGCCTGACCCCATGCTAGCAAACTATATGGCCACTGTCCCCCACCACTGTGTGTCTGATGACGGTATCACGCTGGGTGAGCGAGCACTGATGCTGTCGACAGTGCAAAGGAAATCAGGAGATTAAATAATGGAGAGCAACATGTAGGGAAGCCAGTATTCCTTATTATTTTTGCTCTGTTAGTGAACCCCTCTCACCAGAACTGCTACATGTTTATCGAATGTAAATAGAGTTGTTTAGGCCTGTTAGATCAGAAGTGGCGTGATGTGTTGACATCCGTACATTACGTTAAATGGTGTCATGTAATTTTATTGGGTCAACGCGGGTTTGATGTTCCCACAGCATGCTGATCCGAGCTGAGGCGATTTTAACGCAGGTCGCTTGCCGAGTCGTGAGCTTTTCCCACTGTCACTAACAGACAATTGTTCTGGGTTTAAACAGGTTTTTGGCCAGTGGGAAAGGAGTATTACTGTACTGTTTGCCTTTGCAGGTAAACGGAATACTTTAATGAAAAAATTTGATGCATGTTTACATGAAAAAAAAAAAAATTAAAACATACAGAAAAAAGAACAGATCTCAATATCATTGACATTCCTTGTAACAAGATGAACCTAATTAAAGCTTTACGGCTTGCCTTAGCTGCCTGGACTGGAAATTGATGATAATTGAATTAATGAAAATGATTGAATTTATTCAATTGAATTAATACAATTAATGCATTAATATAAAATGATTAAAAATTTTATTTAAAATTAAGAACTTTTTTTTTCAAACAAAATCACTGCCTTTGGGATCATTGAGACAAAGATATGTGAAAAAAAGAAGCTATTTTTCAGACCAAATAGTAAATAATCTTTTCCCCAGGGTATAGATCTCATGATCCACTCCTCAAAAGGGGAAAGGAGAAAATATATCCTATATAAGAAAATATGTAAGAAAATATAACAAAGGTGAGACAGAGGTTTGTTGGTCTCCATAAATGAGTAAATTGGATCAAGAAGAGAGCAAAACATAAAAACGTGCCCATAGCCACAGTCGTAGCCATAATCAAATAATAAAATATTCTTTTTGGAGGATGTTGAAGAATAAAATGCCATTATATCCCACTATAAGAGCACTGCAAAAAGAAAATCTGTGTCGATTTAAGGTTTTCTCTCCCTCTTTCCTATAATGAATGTGGTGGCTGCCACACATAATGGACTTTATCAACAGGACTAAGTGCATTGAATTTTCTCTTTTGCCTACAAAAACTGCACCGCTTTGATGTAAAAATCTCTGTTATGACTGAGTAAATAAAGAAAAGGGATAAGATTAATACATGTTGTTTCTTTTCAGGACTAAAAGGATTAAATGAGTCTCATTTTCCCCCTGGGTGTTATCCTCCTGATCTAACCATTCATCATTCTTGTATTTAATGTGTCAAACCTTAAATATGCTTTTTATTCCTGATTCATGATTGAGTCCCGGCAGAGACCTGTTCAATCACCTGAGTATCAGTGCCACAGAGCGCTTTTATCATTTGAAAATCAATGCAAATAGTGACTCTATGCTCTCCTTCTGAATGTGCAGAGTTGCAGAGGCTCAATATTTTCATAAACTTCCACCTTGAATACTGAGTTATCTAATGCTGCTGGAAAGTGATGAATCGAGCATGTTTTACTCTCCTGCGATGCAGAAATACACTCAGGATTAATTCAGCAGTAACCATATATATCCAGAGGGTCAGATGGGAGTTTGCCTTAATGAGAAATGTCACAGCTCTTTAAGCCAGATTGGACCCTCTGTGCTACAAAAGTCAGCACCTTTGGGTCCTGAACTGATCTAACTGACAAAATAAATGATTTTAAACAAAGCAACAGTCTCTCCTGAGGCTGTTTCTGCTGCTCGCTGTCATCATGCAAACCCAACGCCTAATTTCTAGTAAATAACAGCTTGCCTTATAATAGAAATAATCATTGTATACCGGCTGACATTTAAACTGTGCTTTTTAATGAGCTCAAACTTCACTAAACTTTTAATCCAAGGGACATTTGGAGACACTTGCATACTTTTGCACTTGTAGTTATCTTTTTAAAAACTGCATATTACAGCACTCTGACGCTGCTTGTAATCCCCGACTGTGTACTCACCAGGCAGCAGCATCATAACAACAAAGGTGGCGATCAGCACACCACACAGCCTCCTCCGTTCAGCCATGACCGTGCTTCTCACACTCCTGCAAGGACTAAACAAAAAGTGAAGATTAGTTTTCAAAAATCTGTTTGACTTTGTCTTTGTCTGACTTTTAAAGATGTTCTACCTTGTTTGTTACTGCAAAAACTAGGTTGTTAAAAGTGTTGTTTCACCCTCCAGTCAATGATGTTTCTGTTATCTGGTAACTCTTCTGTCTGCTTTTGCTCACCTCACTGCTGCTGAGGTGAATCCCTTTAATACTTGTGCTGCTGCAGCAGCTAAAGCCTGTGCTTTGTCATCATAAGACTAAAACCAGGTGTTTTTTCCCACAAAACAAACTTCTCAACCTTGGAAATTACCCCAAACTCCTGGTGTAAACACAGGCTTCACCATGTTTGGCCTCTTACCTGTGGGTTTTTTTTTATCTGTTGTGTCCGTCTGTAAGTGCAGCCTAAGAGAGCCCGGATGTCTGTGTGGTTTGTTTTCGACAGGGACTCCCGGAGCACAATGCTGTGCTCTCCTCACAGACTGTCTAGGTTTCAAGAAATAACAAGGTTTTTAACTGAGAACAGCGTCTCAGCCACACATAGACCACCTGAGGGGGTCGAGGGGCTAACTCAACAAGATTGGCTTGAAGTTTTGGGCCAATCAGGTGTCTTACAGGCACAGTAATTAAAGGCAGGATAGGAGAAAGTGGGAGGTGCTGGAGAGAAGCTGGAAACGTGGAATAATAAGTTGAAGAAGGCTGCTTTTTTGATTAGATTTCAAATGGGGGTTTAATGATGGAGTTTCTACTAAGTTTCAAATACATATTATTTTCATGCTTTTTGGTTAATAAGGTACGTATGTTTCAGTTAACTTCATTCAGGGATAACTACAGTGGGACTGCCAGTCACCATCCTGAAAGCTTTACACCTGCAGTACATGAGAATAACATGCACTGGAAAAATCTAGAAAAAATAAGTAAAAATTTCTTAAATTAAGGGTATTTACCCTTATTTTGAGTAGGTTTAACAAGATGATTTGCCAATGGAATTAGTATTTTTACTCTTAAAATAAGATATTTAGATAAAATGCACTTGAAATAAGACAATGCAATTGCGTTTCCTTATTATAAATGTGAATTGTCTTTTTCTATTGGCAAAATGTCTCTTTTACCTCCTCAATCCAAGTACAAATGCACTTATTTTAAGAAAAAAGGATTTATCTACAGTATATTTGGATTTTTTCCAGTGTGAGGGTTTATACCAAGATAACCAGGAAGCCATCCTGAGACATGCAAGAAGCAACCAGGAGAGCTTTAATGTTGTTATTTCTACACAGGAGCCTGTTGGTGTATTATTTTTATGGTAGGAATTTAAATGAAAATTAACCTGTATGTGTCTAATTAGCATTAAAACTGATTTGTCACATTTAAGTGTTTCATATCAGCAAATTCAAAATTTATAAAAAGCAAATGTATACAGTTAATGCAGTTTTTAAGTTTTATTATCAATAAGATAAAATGTAGTATAAAAAACAAACATCTAAACCTAGATGATGCTGTGTGAAGAAGAAATGACCAGGCAGGTTTGGGTTACATGGCTCTCCTCCTTAAGGCAGTGACTCACTGCTACCAAACCAATCCCACCCATGAAAAGGGCTGCAAGCCCACCTCTGGGGCCCAGGACACCCCAAGACTCCCTCCTGCTGCGAGAAAAAAAGCAGCCCCCCCCAGTCATTCAGGCTGAAAAAGCGATAAGACTGATAGGGCCTGTTAAGCCACTAATGGACCCATTAAGGCCCCTACTTTCCATTCAGTTTATTGTTGGGTTGCTGTCACTTAAACAACCCAAGCATGTCTCTTCATATGTGTTGTTGTGGTTACATATCTGAAGGTGGGAATGGCATCAAAAACACTCGGAGACATGAGTCACTGCTGCACTAGAAAGCAGAAACCTGACGACACTTCAGCAAATGTAAACCCCTACCTTTAATTTTACTGCTTTAGTGGCATCTGAGCCATCTTAGATGGAGTATGTTGACAGTTGCCTTTTCTATCTCTGCTTCTTTCTGTATCTCTGCTTCTTTCCCCTTGAACCCCAGTCAGCCTCGGCAGATGGCCGCTCACACTGAGCCTGGTTCTGCTGGAGGCTTCTTCCTGATAAAGGGGAGTTTTCCTCTCCACTGTCGCTACAAGCATGCTTGGTGTGAGGGATTGCTGTCATGTCAATGAGTTGATGCAATCAACTGGTTTTCCTTGGATAGAAAACTTTGAATCAATCTGACTGAATGACCTGGTTGAGATTACATATAAACTGAATAGAGCTGGCAGGTTACATTTCATTAAAAACGTGAAAACTACAATATTTATCAGCATTATGAGTTTTAGAGCTGGAAAAATTATCGCAGCAGCTATTGCAGAAAGTTTAAGACAGTGTATAAGCTGTAATTATTTATTTTAGTGGTACGTCTTAATCCAGAGAAATACACTGAAATAATCCTGTTTCTATATAACAGGACAGAGACCAGCTGATTTTTGAAACAGTATGTTACACATGTTAGAACGGCCCAGTCAAAGTTCTGTGACCAGATCTGAAAACTGCAGTTCATAAAGACTCTGCATATGATCTGACTAAACATTTTAGTCACTAGATCTTTAAAGCTGGTAGAGATTAACTATAAAAGATTTGCAGCAAGTGAGGCAGGGCCGGGTTTGCCAACAGGTGACACAGGCGACTGCCAGGGGAGCCATCTGCTGGACAGTTGCAGAAATAAAAGAGAGAAATATGGTTTTAATTTTGCACTCCATTCTCAGGGTACTGATCTTTAAGGTTTACATGTATTCATTAATTTTGCCTTTCAAAATTGTTGTCATATCCCTAATATTTGAGTTTTGCTGTTGACTGTACAGCTTTATGTTACATTTGACTTTGTACCCAAAGTTGCTCTCCTACCTTGGGCACCAAAGAACCAATAGCCGGCCCTGAAAAGGTGCCGTCACTGAGGGGGTGAATATTTCTGAATAATGCCATTTTCAGTTTTTTATTTGTTAAAAAAAAGAAAGAAAACCATATACTTTTTTTTTTTTTACCTGATAGCTGTATTTAATTTGTGTTTGTCTTTCAAATTAAAATCTAATAAAATCTATATTTTGCTTGTGGTTGTAATGTGTCAATTCCAGGGGTATGAATAATTTTTCAAGCCAATGTATAAGTCATGCAGTCTGTGGGACTATAAAAAACAGCTAAAGGGGGTTATTAACTTAAAAAAAAAAAGATAGAATTATGAATTTTTGCATTTCTTTGTAAGGATAATTTTTGCAGCAATATTCTGAAAAGCTGGTTATACCCTGACAAAACCTAGCAAAACAAAATATGAATGGGAAATAATACAAATTCTAACATCTGTCAGCAGTTCATAGGGTTGTTTTTGTGGGGTTTAGGTGACATCTTGACTCCCGGCGGCTCCAAACAACTGGAACAAAGATTAAAGCGGAGGGCAGAGGTAAGGGAAATAATGACGTGAAGCCAAGGTGCCACATAAGCACTTTTTAGGGACCTCACAGTGTGCCAAACCACTAAGGATGTACAAGAAACAGGCACAGCTGGTCCACATGTGAGGAATTTGATAATCTACAGTTTCCTCCACAGTTTGAGTCTGTTTAGACTTGCAGGGCTTGTAAGAAAAACATACAGTAGGTACAAATAGACGGCAAATACAGTGGAGAAGCCACCAGATGGGATACATGTTATCACAGCTGATAGGGAACGACTGTGATCCATTTATCATTCATCGAGTTTTAAAGTGCTGAATCTGATTTGATCTAATCTCATGTTTTAACGACAAAAGCACATTTAAAAATTGTAATGGTTCAGAGGGATGATGCATATATTTTGACAGTACTTGTGATGTTTTCAGTTAATATCAAGACTTACTCTCAAGTATCATTAAAGCTCCTTACACGGTTGTGTAAAAATAGCTCAAAACTAAACTAGTTTTCTGTGTAAATCTCTAATAACCAAATTAAAATGTATAAATATTAGTGGTTGCAGCCCAATTAGGACCAGTAACAAGGTTTTTAAGGTTTGCTTAAGGTTTACTAATTGGAATCTCTTTTTGATTCTCATTTGCCTCTACAAACTTTGATGTTGTACAATATGCCAATATTTTTCTTATTATAAACAATATATAATAAACCACATGAAGTACCCAGGTGAGAGGAAGCTTGCTGGGCACTGAAAGTGCTTGGCTCCCTCAAGTTCTCTCAGGATGGGTCTGCTGGGGGTCTGGTAGCGGGCCAGGGCTTGACCATTGGGGAGCTGGTGACAGGCAGGTGGTCCATGCTGCCATCTTGACACCCATCCCCGTATATCCCATATTTACCGAATTTCCAAAAGTATTTGCTCACCTGCCCTCACTCTCATATGAGGATAAGTGACATCCCATTCCTAATCCAGAAGGGTTGAATGTGACGTCAGTCTACTTTATTCAGCCAGAGCTGCTTCAACTCTTCATGGAAGGATGTCCACATGGTTTAGTAGAATGTTTGGGGGAATTTTCCAGAAGCATGAGGTCACACGCTGATGTTGGACGAGATGACATGGCTCTCATTCTTCACTCTAATTCCTCCTAAAGGTGTTCTACCAGATTGAGGTCAGGTCTCTGTGAAGGCCAGTAAAGTTCATCCACACCAGACTCTGCCATCCATGTCTTAATGGACCTTGCTTTGTGCTCTGGTGCATTTGTATTGGAAGCTTCAAACTGTTTTCATAAAGTTTGGAGCATGGAAATGTCCAAATGTCTCAATACGCTGAAGCATCCAATGTTCCTTTCACTGAAACCAGGCTCGGACTGGTAATCTGTGATACCGGCCATTTACCCGGTGGGTCGGTCCCCTCCGGCCGAATTACCTACCTGTGACAGTAAACAACTCAAGAAGCTCAAGAAGTAATACAATGCTAACTACCTAAATGATGCATGCAGTATATATAGCCCTTCCTTGTCATGCACTCCAAACAGAACACGTCTCCAATGCTATGGAGTCCAGTGGAGCTGTGCTTTACACCACTGCCTGCAATTACACCCACTTGATATATGATTGGAGGTGTGTAGTGATTGACTCTTGAGGAAGTCAGTGACTTCTTTGTACCATCTGCTTCAGCATCTGCTGACCCATCTCAGATAATGTGGCCTAACACTTGGTGGACGAGTTTCTATCAGTCCCAACCTCCCATTTTGTAGGGATTTGGCTAAAGGAATACTTAGCAGAGAGGAAATTTGGTGACTGGATTTGTTGCATAGGTGGCATCCTTCTAGTTCCAGCTCTGGAATTCACTATACTGCTGAAAGCGACCCATTCTTTCACAAAGGTTTATAACAGCAGTGTGCACCCCAGGTGCTCGATTTTATACACCTGTGGCCATGGAAGTGGTTGGAACACCAGATTCTTATAATTTGGACAAGCAAATACTTATATATAGAGTATATAACACTAGGGTCTAAGTGGATGTTGCTGGACTTTGGGGAGAACCTGCCAGTGTTCCCATTTTCTTTGCTTTGACTGCCTGGATGTTAGTTTTAACACTGATCAGAAACATAGAGCTGGGAGAAAAGAACTTCAGCATAATTGTATTGCCACCATGTGTAACAGTTTGTGTCAAAGGGTTTGACAGCCTGACCTCAACCCTGCATTTTTCTTCAACTTATAATTTAAGTTAATAAGCTAAAATGGTTTAAGGCCATCAGTTTCCTCGAATCATTTTAGTTTAACTTGTCAAGTTCAGATAAAGGTCAGAGGGAGAACAGAGGGAGCCATTGCTGTAACAAACCCTATTGTGAACTTTGCTTTGCTGGTTAAAGGTCTACCAGAGGCTCAGAGCTTCTCTGATTAGCTGTAATAAATGTAAGGCTTCTTTTACTGCTGTTTTTTTGTCTTTTTTTTTCCTCTCAAAGGGAATTTGATTTGCCATTTATTTGAATGATGTCTATATGATTGCATATTTCATCCTTTTTTGAAACAAGGTGCAAAGAGGGAAGCTTTCTTTTTGTGTTCAACTCTTTTTCAGGTTATTTGCAGCCTCTCTGCTTATATGAAAGCTTAGAAAGGAAAGTCTCCGATAATTGATTTGTCAACGCATGAAAGCTCTGCAATGAAGACAATTAAAAATGACAATCTGAAGCAAAAAAATCAAACTGCATCTCAAGATTTATTCTTTTTTCCCCATGTCTCTATTTCCCGTCCCATTACACCTTCACTGGATATTTACAGGCCACGTTAACACAGATTCTTGTGTGTAATTATGTTTGGTAACAGATGTTCCTGATAGCCTCCAAGCCTGCAATCCTGGTTGGAGCAGATTCAAACACGACTGAGCTAAAAACATACTCATAATTTTCTCTAGAGTTGGAATGTGAGCAAATCCCAGTTTTCACAAACACCTGGTTCACACTGAGAAACATAAAGACTTTATTTTAATAGCATACTGGATCGTTAATATGAAAGATGTTGTACAAATACATTTCTGTTATCTACACTTCATCAGAATCCCAAAGATGATCGGACGCTGTGATCACTGCAGGTCGTCGTCGTCGAACAGATCCTCAAAGTCTGTGAATGGAAAGATGGAGACAAAGAGAGATCAGCAAGCTGAAAATTAGTCCAGCTGTTTTCCTCCAGACTCCTACCTTCTCAGCTAATTATCTTGCATATAATAATTTTTCTCCCCCATCTCCCACTCAAGCTGAGACACTCGCTTTAAATGAGCCAAAACTCCTCCCATACAGAAGCAAATACATGCTGGCATTGATCCTAAATGCTTTTCCTACTTTGTAGGCACTTTTAAAATAAGAAACATCAAACACAGCTTCGGTATCCACCCCCGTATGTTGGATATGGTTATATAATCTCTTGGAGAAAAGGTGATTTTTGTTTTTATTGCAAGACAAATTTAAATACAGCACTTAATATTATTGAGATGAGGCCTTAAAAAAAAAAAGAAAAAAAAGAGTCATTCTTAGCTTTTCCCTCTTTGTTTGCTACTTTTTGATTATTTTTTCCCCGTCTTACAGGATTTAAAGTACAGGTTATAACTTTCTAATACTACCTGATCCTATCTGAACCTTTTAAACTTTCATTGGTGATCTGCGATGTTTTGCAGCATAGCTAGCAGAGATAATCTGTTTTTTATTCACAGTGTTCACTAGTCAGCTGCTCCAGTAACTGCCTAATAAAATTGCTTTACAAAATGTAATTTATTTTGAAAAATTAGCTCCAACTAATAAAAATAAAAATATAAACACACATTTTGGCTACGTTTACACTGCGAGCATTAATGCTCATTTTCGATTTTTTTTTTTTTTTGTGCAAACCGATTCTGTTCACATTTTCAAATATATGTGACTTGTATGTGATGTCCTGTGTGAGCTGCATTTATAAAACTTAAGTGTCCCGCATGGGCAGTTACGGAAGAGGATTAGGGCCACTGAAAAAAAAAAGTTAACTGATTTTTTAATTTTATTTCAGTTTAACATGGGGAAAAAAGTCAGAATTCTGACTTTCTTCCCATACTATACTGAAATAAAATAAAAAAAATCAGTTAACTTTTTTTTTTCAGTGGCCCTAATCCTCTTCCGTAGGCAGTGGAGGACGCAGTGACGTTAAAAGCAAACGTGCCGTTTATGGAAGTAAACATGGATAGTAGTGCTGGAGCACAGCTTTCATTTCCTTTCCAACCTCAGCCAGTGTTATTTACACAGGTTGAAAGGTTAAAAATAAAGACTGCTCTCCACACCATCGTCTGCCATGGTTGTTTTTCTTTGCATTTTTATCTATGGGATAAGTGACAATCTCAAAAAAATTAAGGTCATCTTCAGCTCCTTGCATCAATATCAACCCCTTTTCATTTTCAATGCATTTTATTGTGATTTTATGTGATGGACCAATGCAAAGCAACACAATTGAGAAGCAGAAGGAAAATGTTTTTTTCTTTTTTCTAACAAACTACACCTGAGAAACTCAGTGCGTTTGTTTTTATCCTTCCCCTTTCTTTGATACCCTTAAATAAAACACTGCGGTACAAAGTGTTAAACTTAACTTTGGTTTTATTAAGTTAGATTGTGGGAAAATCCAACTATCCCCCTTTAACGACAGACCTTTCAGACACTTAGACAGGTATGGGGCATTGCAGGCTAACAAAATAATCCGAACGACCCCCATTCCAAAGGGGGGGATCCATCTGTCCGTTTCAATTTGCATGTTTTCAAAACAAAAACAAGTTTCCAATGGGCTGCTGTATAAACCTCAAACTTGATGCTATTCCAAACATTTTGAATTGAAAAAGCTTCCTGGATGGGAAGCGAAACATCTTCAAACTTGGAAACAAAGTCCAGTGGATTGTTTTTAATTTTCTTTTTTTGAAATGCCTATGACCTGGATGACGGAGAATCTTCACCAGCATACTGTGGGGGGAAAAAATGGTAAAAATGAATATTTTTTTTTAGGAATTGACATTTAGGCAATTTATAATTGATGTAAGAGTCGGTATCAATGGCCACGTCTGTGAGTGCAAACAGGGAATCTGACTTTCCGTTTCTATCGCCTACATCATCATTTGCATATTAAAAAAAAAAAACAATTGACGTGTAAACACTGTTAGAGGGGGTAAGGACGGGTTAAAAAAGCAAACAAAATAATTAGTATGTAGAAGTATGCAAGCTGTTTTATTTAAAAATGAATACATAAAAAGAGGAAGGCAGGTCGTTAGAGTGCAAAAGCCCTGATTGTTCCAGCAGAGTATCTGACTTCTCATGGCCTGGGGAAACAAACCGTCTCTGTGGAGGTTCATTGCTGCTATTAGCACTCATCCCTGAGAGTAGGAGTTTGAACAGCTTCTAGCCAGGATGAGTGGGGTCAGCAGGGGTGTTAGTGGCTCGTTTTGTTTGGCTCTAGACAGCTCAGAGATAGAGGGAAGGTCGATGCTGTAGATCCACTCTCTAGATCTTGTTTGGTTGCAGTTTGGACCCGTCCTTGTTTAGTAGATGAGCAAAACAACAATGGATGTGGATGAAACGGTGAGATTGATGTAGTAGATTAGATGACCAGCAACCCCAGAGGAAGGTTGTACTTCCTGCTATGCTACAGGAAGTAGACTCTCTTCTGGACTGTGAACATACATTTAGTTAGAATCTGTTCAGCACAGAATGCCTCACACTAGGACAGATTTTAGTTTAGAATAATCCTGTAATGTTTTCAAACATCTTTCTACTGACTAGAAGTGAAATCAGGGTTCTGGAGCAGCTCTAGTGCCGAGCTGCTGTAGCTGATGGGGAATGTGTAAAAGGAGCTAAAGATGAGGGTCATGGCAGGGAGGTCTTCCAACCTTAAAGCTGTGGAGCTCATCCCAAAGAAAACGTTGCTCAGGAAATATAAGGTCTGCTATAATCCCCATACAGATAACTCCACTCATTCAGTGGGCTGTGCACCATTTTTAGCATTGATCTTCCCCAACAACATAAATATGAATAAATGTTATTGTAAAGTCCATGTTTAAATTAAAAAAGATTTAAACTCTTTATATTCCGGGGGTACAAATAATCCCAGTTTCATTGTAATTTGGGCGATATGTAAACCCACACGCCTACTTGCATTTTTAGGTGATTAAAAAATAAAACAGTGACTTAAAAATAGATTTTTGTTCCTTTTACAGAGCCGAGTTGACCTTATATTGTATTAGTGGTAAAGGTCAAAGCATCATCCAATAAAGACGAGGTTCTGGCGTTATCACTGCTACGCTGCAAACGACACAGAGCCGAACTCTAAAGCTGAATGTCATCCAGCCATTCAGCTGCAGCCTGATCAGCGAGGAGTACAAAAATATTCAAGAGATATCTGAACCAGTCGGCTTTTAGCTCATCAGATGAAGGGTAACTTCTGCTCCAGTAGGAGCACCTCTGATTTAAAGGATAAATGTATTAATATCGCAAACAGTGGATTCCACCAGCAGGACTTAATAAAGGCCTTTTCTGCAACAGCTGCAATAAATTTTCACTCCACCGCTGCTTTTAATGAATCTAAAAACTAAACCGTTGGAGAAACAGCTAATCAGAGGATGCAGGTGTTCATCAGAGGAGTCAGGCAGACCTGTTTGCTGCACCTCTCATTTTCAGGTAGGGGACCAAACATTAGCTAAGCTCCAGTGAAAAGGTGAAGCTTCTGGTACCCTAACAATAAAAAAATGTCTTACCTGAATGGAAATTTATGTTTGTAGTCTTGTGGACATTTAATTAATTTTAAAGATGTTGTTTGGGGTTTTATGATCTAAATACTATAGAATATAATGTCTCTAAATATAATGAAGTCCCACAAATCCTCTAAATTTTTATTAAGTAGTTCAACTAACAATCTATGCGTTACTTCATTATCAATCCAGCTGATGTGTGAAAACTTCAGAGGTCTGTTAGGAACAAACAAGTAGAGTTGTCAGTAACGCGTTACCCTAATAAATTACATTTGGCAGTGATAGTATTACAGTTACTGTGGTGGGTAACGTGTCATAACCTGAGCTGAACAACTGCGGCCAACAACCTAAATAAAGATTTATGTCTGTGGTGCAACAGTTTATGTTGCACCACAAACTGTCCAGGTCTGGGAGGAAATACCTCAGAAGACCATCCTTCACCAAATCAGGAGCATGCTGAGGTATTGCAGGGAGGTCATACGGGTACGCAGAGGTCACAGAGAAACCTGAGCCTAATTTTGTCCTGTTCTAACGACATTACATTAAAGTTAGATCAGTCTGTGGTGTTTTTTCCATTTTTATTTTGTCTGTGACTCCAAATCCAGCCCTCAATTGGTTAATAAATTTAATTTCCAATTGATGATTTTCCTGTGATTTTGTTGTCGGCACAGACTTTGTGCAGAACAAGGTATTCAGCAATAATATTTCCTTCATTCAGATCTAGGATGTGTTATTCGAGTGTTCCCTTTATCTTTCTGAGCTTTCTGTCAACAGATCCAATCTTTACAGGAAAGTGAGGCAGATTGGAGTGAAGCCATAACAGCGGTTTGCTTAAAACCATGCAGTAAATACGTGTTAGAAGCAGGGTTCTCACCAGCGTGGAAATCAAGCCGATACGATCATTTTTTATAAGTCTAACAGCTCTTAAACTGACATCTGGGCTCCCCCCCAGTGCATTTCAGCACAGATGCTTTTTAGGCTGAAACTTACAATGGAAATATGCTGATACTCTGACTTTTAATGAGTACAACCACTATGGAAACTTTTTTTTTAAACACATTTACCTCCTTGTTTGCACACACGAGGAAAGCGCAGTGAAAATGTGAGCTCTACACCGTTAGGACTGTCATGGGCTCGGCTCAACAAGGCAGGTGTAAGTTCTTAAAAAATCCTGATCACCCTGAGAAGGGGCTCCAGTCAGATAGGAGATACTTTTTTTCCCGGCAGAAATTATATAGATTGCAGGGAAATTCTGAAAAAAAATGACTGCAAAGCAATGGGAAGGAGGCAGCTGTTCGCCTTCCATCAGGAACACCAAACTAAATCAACAGCAGAGGGAGGATGATTGGTTTAGATCAAGGACTAGTCATGTGTTCACGTGGCCAAAATCCAGTCCTGAATTTTAGGAGATTTCACTGAGCTTGAGCTGTTGTAGGGTTTTTTATGCTTTTTTCCATATGAAAGGGCAAAAATATTATTTCTCTGTATGTGGAAACTTCACTAGCAGAAATGTAGCTGTACAAAAGATTGAGAGCCCTGCATCACATACTTATACTTCGCTATTATGCACCATTTGGTGTTGGAGTGCCACATAGCCCAAATGAAACACACTAAGTTGGAGGCTGTAACGTGGGAAAAAAATAAAGGAGTTCAGAGGCTGCAGAAAAAAGATCAAGTTTTGCTCATTTTTCCACAAAAGAATTTGCACATTTGTCCAGAATTGGAAATAAAATGATAACCTAATCCACTTCTTTTTGGGACCTTTCAAGACTTCAAAGGCCGCCTGCCTTAAGCTGAGGGATTTTGAACTGCTGCTCAGTGAAGAACCAGGTGGAGTAAAACATCAGAAACCCTTTCAGGAGTTTCTGAGACATCCAGTGTGTGCAGGCATTTTAAAGCAGCTGACTGACGACGGCGAGGCGTCCCGCTGAGTCTCAGTCTGAAAGCGCCTATAAACTCACTTTACCATGCAACTGCATCGTCTTTTTAACAATCAGCTCCTTTTCTTTCTAGGTCATGTGCTGCTGAGCCAAAATGGTTCAGCTGGGAGCCAGCGCTGCAAGACAGAAAACAGATTAGCTCTGTACTCTCTGCGCTCCACCCGCACATTAGCTGCTGTTCCGAAGGGGAGCAACAGGATCTTTTTAAAGGTTAATGTGAGACAATATGGTTCAGGGGATAAACTAGATTACAAACCTACACTAGATCTCCCGTTTTCCTAGAGTCTAGCATTCCTCTAACTTGGAGGCATAGCTCAAAAAAGTTGAATTTCTTTTAATCAAATGAAGCTGTTTATTTAAAGGCATAAAACTTTTCAAGCTTTTGAGGTTGTGTTAACGCCTAAATCAACTCATCAGCTAAGAATAATTGATGTGTAAAGTTTGTATTCATTATTATTAATATTTTATTATGAACAAATAAAATCAAGAGGCATTAATCTGAGCAAATATATTCATATCAATCACGTTTGAGTTAAAGGACAAAAAAATAAGAGTCTCTTTAACCTCTTAAAATTCACCTAACTTTGGGTAATCCTCGCTTATTTTGCATACCCAAATAGAAAAGCAAATAACTGAGGAACTGTAAGCCCAAATTACATTTGTGCTACTTTATTTAAAAGCTAGCACCTTCTGAAAATATACAGGTGCTGGTCATAAAATTAGAATATCATGAAAAAGTAGATTGATTTCAGTAATTCCATTTAAAAAGTGAAACTTGTATATTATATTCATACATTACATACAAACTCATATATTTCAGATGTTTATTTTGTTTAATTTTGATGATTACAAATGACAACAAATGAAAATCTCAAATTCATCATATCAGAAAATTAGAATATTACTGAAGACCAATAAAAACAAAGGATTTATAGAAATGTTGGCCAACTGAAAAGTATGAACATGAAAAGTATGAGCATGTACAGCACTCAGTATTTAGTTGGGCCTCCTTTGGCCTGTATTACTGCAGCAATGCGGCGTGGCATGGAGTCGATCAGTCTGTGGCACTGCTCAGGTGTTATGATAGCCCAGGTTGCTCTAATAGTGGCTTTTAGCTCTTCTGAATTGTTGGGTCTGGTGTATTGCATCTTCTTCTTCACAATACCCCATAGATTTTCTATGGGGTTAAGGTCAGGAGAGTTTGCTGGCCAATTAAGAACAGGGATACCATGGTCCTTCAACCAGGTACTGGTAGCTTTGGCACTGTGTGCAGGTGCCAAGTCCTGTTGGAAAATGAAATCTGCATCTCCAAAAAGTTGGTCAGCTGCAGGAAGCATGAAGTGCTCTAAAACTTCCTGGTATGTGGCTGCGTTGACCCTGGACCTCAGAAAACACAATGGACCAACACCAGCAGATGACATGGCACCCCAAACCATCACTGACTGTGGAAACTTTACACTGGACTTCAAGCAACGTGGATGAAGTGCCTCTCTTCTTTTCCTCCAGACTCTGGGACCTTGATTTCCAAAGGAAATGCAAAATTTACTTTCATCAGAGAACATGACTTTGGACCACTCACCAGCAGTCCAGTCCTGTTTCTCTTTAGCCCAGGCAAGACGCTTCTGACGCTGTCTGTGGTTCAAGAGTGGCTTGACACAAGGAATGCGACAGCAGAAACCCATGTCTTTCATACGTCTGTGTGTGGTGGTTCTTGAAGCACTCACTCCAGCTGCAGTCCACTCTTTGTGAATCTCCCCCACATTTTTGAATGGGTTTTGTTTCACAATCCTCTCCAGGGTGCGGTTATCTCTCTTGCTTGTACACTTTTTTCGACCACATCTTTTCCTTCCCTTCGCCTCTCTATTAATGTGCTTGGACACTGAGCTCTGTGAACAGCCAGCCTCTTTAGCGATGACCTTTTGTGTCTTGCCCTCCTTGTGCAAGGTGTCGATGGTCGTCTTTTGGACAACTGTCAAGTCAGCAGTCTTCCCCATGATTGTGTAGCCTATAGAACTAGACTGAAAGACCATTTAAAGGCTTTTGCAGGTGGTTTGAGTTAATTAGCTGATTAGAGTGTGGCACCAGGGGCCATCAATTTTGAACCTTTTCACAATATTCTAATTTTCTGATATGATGAATTTGAGATTTTCATTTGTTGTCATTTGTAATCATCAAAATTAAACAAAATAAACATCTGAAATATATGAGTTTGTATGTAATGTATGAATATAATATACAAGTTTCACTTTTTAAATGGAATTACTGAAATCAATCTACTTTTTCATGATATTCTAATTTTATGACCAGCACCTGTAAATATAATAGCCTAGTAAACTAGCTCCACCCGTCAGCGGCCTAAATCCTTTTTGCCTGCGAGTGCTCTAGCCTCGATCAATGCCCCAGGCCCTAGAACTGGCGGGCCAATCACAACTCAGAGATGTGTTTTGAATGTTTGGATGCAAAGCGGGCGGGGTTCTGAGGGTGTGACGACAAAGCTGTGCGATGCTGGAGAAAGCAAAACAAGGAAGATGGCAACAACTATTGAACAGTTCTCGTTTGACTCAGCTTTGGAATCAGTTTTGGAAGGATTAGACTTGGGGTTTTCATTGAAACATGAGCAGGAAGAGGCTCTACGCTCATTCATTTTTAAGAAGGACGTATTCGCCGTTTTACTGACAGGCTGTTCGTTTACACTCCCCCACCAGCTTTCTGTCATGCTTACTACGTCACAGTCAGTTACGCTCATTGGCCAATAGGCACAGACAGTGGTTTAAAAGACAACAGGTTTTTCCCATATAGAATGTTCTGATGTCTCATTCATCGGGTCCAGACTAAATGACACATTTAATCTCTCATTTAGACTGGTTGATCAGGCTATAAATATAAAATAGTGTGACTAAAACGCAGCCAAAACTGCATTAGTTAAAAAATGACTCAAAGTGGGGGGTTTTCTTCTCGAAAATAATAAGTCTTTTTTTGAACAGCAGTAATAGAGAACAGGCTTGAAAACATATAGCTCTCATCATGTCAACCACAACTGCAGAACATTTCAGACCTCTAGGTGTAGCCATTCCAGAGTTGTGAGGCCATTTGACCCATAGAATAACAATGAAGCATTTCGATGGCCACAAATCATTTATGAAGCAAGTCTCGTGAACTGAGAATACTTGATGTGTAAAGTCTTCAAATATCTTTAAAGGACCTCTGTCATGTTGGAAGAGGATCCAGAGAATAAATAAACTTATGTGAGTCTCTGAACAGTAAGTAAAGAGTCATTATGGTCAGAAGAGGAAAAGTCTGTTTCTTACCATTAAAGAAATCTGAGTGAACAGCTTTCTCATTGGCTGCTAGGTCCATCAGCAGGCCGCTGCTGCCCCCTGCCTGTTAACACACAGAACTACATTAAAAAGCACATACTTTATACAGATAATAACAAAGCTGCTGATTAACCAAGAACAACAAAACAAGATGGACGCTTCAATGCTTCTGCAGTTAACTCTTATTATATATGATGTGTTTTATCCTGAAGAACAAAATTCAAATTAAAGTTATGGTGTGTTAAAAAGGAAGTTATGTCTCCCTGAAGGCGATTACATGTCGGAAATTCCCTCCTGGGAGCAAGCTACTTGGATTAATTACTCTCAACTCAAAACTTGGTAAAACTATATGAAAATTACTTAAAAAAGGAGTAAAAATGAACAGTTTATTCCAGTTCAGATCGTTACAGGACAGAGAAATTGCTTGGATTCGGCACCGCTGAGGGCTCAGCAAGCGATGGCATCCAGAAAATGAGCCCCAAAAAAGGTCATCTGCTTCTTATACCTCACGAGTCCATGTGTTGCATCAAGTGGATGCTTAGCTGTTCCTGTCAGGAACTGACACGCCATCCATGCCCTGACCTTTGTGCCTCTATGCCTCAGGATTACAAAAAGATCTTCTTTATCAGCCTAGCTCCAGGATGCATCATTATCCTGTGCTTGTTGTACAGACAAAAATACTGTCCCCATTAGACGGTGATACGGCATGTGAAGGAAGGCCGTCCACCCCATCTAATCTGGCTAACAGATAAGTAATACACATCACTAATAATAAAACTAACAAGTGTTAAAACAATCAGACACATTTGAAAGCTTTTAGCTGTAACGTTTGTACAATACCTAAATATAAGAGAATATGATTAAATAGTTTGTTTTAATGATGAAAAGTCAAAAGGCGTTATAGAATAAAAAGATTAACCCTTTGAAGATCTACATTTCAAGCTAAGTGTCATTGGGCGACAGAACAAAATCCTTCGGTAACATTTAAAAACAACATATATTTAAATAGCAAAAATCAAGGTCAGTGTAATAACCAGAAACTAATATGTTAAAAAAAAAATCTTTTTTTACAGTGCTTTTAAAAGAAATGAAAGAAAAAAACAAAACTATTGTTTTTGTCAAAACATACCTTAGAATATTCATGCTGATACCAGGACTAATGATTTTTACTTTTTAACTTTAGACCCTAACTTATAATTTTTTCTTTCAACTTAATGTAAAGCCGGTAATATATCATCCTAGATGTAATTTGCCAAAATGATGTGTGGTAGTATCTTCAATGAATGGGCTGGATATAAAGATTGAGCTTCTAGATCTCACTGATGGATGGAGGCATGGACTCTCTTTGTTTGATCATTTCTGTCAAGATTTATCAAAGGTTGAATACTCAAGGAATTAAAATTAATTGAGAAGTTCAGACAGAAAAGAATCAGATTTGATAGGATCTGGATCTGAAAGGAGGAATCTGAATGGTTCATATTGAAATGCTGCCGAACCCTACAGCTCTCACTGGAGCGGTTCGCAGGAGAGTGTGAAGCGGCCGGGATAAAGATCAGTGCCTCCACATCCGAGACCATGGAAAAGGGTAGAGTGCCTTCTCCGGGTTGGAGAGAATGTGCTGCCCCTAGTGGAGGAGTTTAAGTATCTTGGGGTCTTGTTCACAAATGAGGGGAAGATGGAGCGGGAGATCGACAGGCGGATTGGTGCGGCGTCTGCTGTGAAGCGTGCCCTGTACCGGTCTGTTGTGGTGAAAAGAGAGGTGAGCCAAAAAGCAAAGCTCTCGATTTACTGGTCGATTTACGTTCCTACCCTCATCTATGGTTATGAGCTTTGGGTCATGACTGAAAGAACGAGATGCCGGATACAAGCGGTTGAAATGAGTTTTCTCCGTAGTGTGTCCAGGCTCTCCCTTAGAGATAAGGTGAGGAGCTCAGTCATCCGAGGAGGACTCAGAAGATCCGCTGCTCCTCCACATCGAGAGGAGCCAGTTGAGGTGGCCCGGGCATCTGATTAGGATGCCTCCTGGATGTCTCCCTGGTGAGCTGTTCCAGGCACGTCCCACTGGGAGGAGGCCCAGGGGGAGACCCAGGACTCGCTGGAGGGACAATGTTTTTCAGCTGGCCTGGGAGCTCCTTTGGATTCCCCCGGAGGAGCTGGCCCAAGTGGCTGGGGAGAGGGACGCCTGGGACTCCCTACTGAAGTTGCTACCCCCGTGACCCGACCCCGGATAAGTGGAAGAAGGTGGATGGGTGGATGGATAATTGAATTGCTGCTCAGCTGGGTATAACAGAACAAAAAATGGATACAATTTTCTTCACAATATGATTCCAGCTTTTAAACAGGACTTTGTTAAAACAAAGTATTAAATAACTTAAAACAAGGAAACCTTACTTAAAACAACTGAAAGCTATTGTGAGAAATTATCATAAACTAAACCCTTGAGCTAAAATGCAAGTCAATTCTTTGGAAATACAGAACCATAACAGAAAATTTATTTTAATTTAAAGGTTTATATGTCTGCAGCAGAAATAGACCAGCGGTTATCCTCTGTGTCATTAAATGACTCAGTTTTGAACAAAGAGGGTGAAATACATTTTTGGTTTAACACAATCTTAGCGTGTATCACACCACCACGCGCCTGATTGATGTGACATCATATATATATAAAAGACTTAATAATAACTTTTTTTTTTTTTTTTTTTACCGTTCATTTGGATCTGCATAAAAGAAGACGTCTGCAGACGTTTTCATTAACGAGATTAATTCCAGTAATTAGCCTAGCTTGTTTTTGGTAAACATTCACGTTAATTTATCACAGCTAACAAAACAAGATATAAATTAACTACATTTTAATAATGACATGAAAAGTCCGATTGTTTTACCTTTTGTCTCACTTACTCGAACTCTGTAGAAATTAAAAATTAAACACATATCATCCTGTAACTGCTGCTAGCATTAGCACTGTAGCTAGCATAGGTAATTTCTGTTGCGTTTGTTTCAACCGACCTCGTCAAGATCCACGTAGGGTCCAGCTCCTTCAGGAAACATTTCATCCACCGCAGGTTTCATCTTTTAGTGTAAGTAAAAAAAAAGCAGTGCTTTGAATTGCTCGGTTTAGCTGGCAGCGAGGCTTGCAATCCAAGGGACGATGGTAAACAAAACAAGGCTGTGCGACACCTAATTGGTTCCGACTGAAACTTGTAGCGTCACATTTATTCCACTACCAGGAGATTCAATTCTTTGTTCAAATATCTTTACTTTACAATTGAAAGCTCTGTCAGTTACTTTAATTGTTTTTAGTCCTAAAATAACAAAATAAGACGATACAAATACCATAATTCATTGTGATTAATGGCACTTATCCGTTGGTATTATTTAGAAGGTAGTTGCTTTATTCATTCAACTGCCTTGGTCTTATAATTCTAAATATATTTGTACAAACATTTATTTATAATAAATGGTTTATAATAAATAAAATGAACCACACCTTTAGAGATAAAATTTTATTTTAATTAATTTTCTCTTGATTAAAAGTATTCATATATATATAAAGAGTGATGCTGATGACACTAATATATTTTGGTGCAAAGTTTCTAAACTGTTGAAGGTGAAATTCCTGTGCTTTTAATAAGCTGTATTCTCCAACTGTCTATGCTCAGCTTTTCTACTCTCTAATCAAAAAGATGATAAATATTCGAAGGATAGCATGTTGACCTTAAATATTAATCTTGACAGTGTTGTTTTATTACATAATAAAATGCATTTCATCATCACCGTCATTTGTCATTTGCCCCCATTAATGCTAAGCAGAACCTAATCTCTTTGACAGAGAAAAAAAAAGTGCATAAATGAATTCATTCTTTAGAAACTTTACCTAGAAGCAAATTTCTTATTTATTTTGCACGCAGTAGATGGATATATTCTCTAATACAAGCAACAGGGCTACACACGTCTGTATCTATGGCTATGCTTGAAACTAAAGAAAGTTTAAAGATGATAAAATATGTGTTCTCTTTTTACTTCTACATCAGTATAGTTTGATCCCCTTTGCCAACAATGCCTGGCTCCATTCTCAGTGTTCATGTCCTGCATTGGACTCATATCCCAGGGTGTCTCCAAGGGGCTGGTGGGCGAAGAAAGCCCGAGCCATTTCGTTGATGTGGTTGTAGGCCCCGATAGATCTGAAGTATTCAACGTAGTTCCAGAAGTCTGAGGTGGAGTAGGGCCAGTAGGGAACAGCAGGGGGTTCATCGTATGGAACTGAGGGGGACACAGAAGAACGGAAAATTATGTTAAGCTAAAAATCTTTTTATGACCATTGTTTGTCTGGTGAAGAAGGCTCAACAAAGGCTCCTCCTCCTCTTCTTCTTCGAAGCTTCTTCCCAAGAACTGTCAAAATGTGGCAACCCCTCTGCCACAGCACAACAGGAGGTATCGCAGAGTTTTTTTTCACGGATAAATCTCTAAAATAAGCAAATTAAATTCAGATTTTTTTTTTGTTGTGCATAGAAATATACATACACTTTTATGTAAGCAGAAATAAAACCTAAACATAAAGAAGCAGTGTGTGCATGCATTTGTGTGTGTGCAATCTCAACTTTTCTAATACATAAAGATTAATCCACACAGAAATTAATATTTTAGAAAATGAAGATATGTAGTTTAATTGAAATCCTACCTCCTTCTGGGATGAATCTGGCCACTGTGGGGTAGAGACAGAAAGAAAAAGGGAAAAGATTCAACATTCCTAAACATTCCACAGTTTTCCATGAACAAAGAAGGGATTCAGTCCTGTAAAACGAAAGGGGGGCTCTTTCTCAGAGGACTGCAGGAATACCTGGTTCCTCAGTAAATATTTTCCCCCGGGCTGAGCACACATGGAGCATGATTGAATTCATACAGACCTCTCTTTCTATTCACAACTAAAACGTATTAATGATATTCAAATCACATGCATTCAATTTAGTAAATAAACTGGAGCTAAAAAACTTTGTTTTATTTAATCTTCATTTAACAGTCATTTAACATTAAAATGAAGTAACTCACCACTTAATTGAAAGGCAACGAGGCAGAGGAGCCCACTGATCCACAACAGCTTCATCCTGCCTCTTAATTAGACAGAAAAAAAAACTTTTTTGGCCTGAAAAGCATTTAGTTTAGGGTGAATGCAAATATCTTTACCTGCTCAGAGTTCTGTGACGGTTCTCAAAGGAAGGCTGCAGCTGGTCTGCTGTGGTGTGAGGAGGCTTGGAGTGGAACAAGCAGCCTAATTCCAGCACACACACATACACACACAGCCCAACCAGCCTGTCCCATTCACATCCCAGTGACATAGCTTCAAATCCATCCTCACAGGGCTGCTTCCCCCCTGCAGGGCCTACAGAGCAGCTCTTAGAGAAAATTCATGGACTGCTCAGTTGGTGTCAAGGCAAATATTTGATTTGCTCAAAAATAAACCCAAGACTACTCACTTTTGGATCCAGATTTTACACATTTACAGATTCTTCACACCCACTAGTAGAGGACCTTTTGCAAATAAAACCCTCATATATAAAAATATACTCTCTTTCATATAAACTAGGGTTTTTCCTGACCTCAAACACAAAACAATTAACTGTTCGACTGTCTGACCATGACTGATTTATTTCCAGAAAGTATAAAAACACAAAGCACTAATGTTACAGACCAGTGGAAATATTTATTTAGATAAAATCAGGGTGTAACATTATCAATGACCCCTTTACACCCCCACCATGGACTGTTCTCCCTGCTGCCCTCTGGGAAGAGGCTTCACTGCATCCGCTGCAGGTCCAGCTGGTTCTGCAACAGCTTTCCCCACTGCTTCAGACTGTTGAACTGTTGAACTGTTGAACTGTTGAACTTCATTACACACGCACTTCAGACTGTTGAACTGTTGACTGTTGAACTGTTGAACTGCATTACACACGCACACAATATTTTGCACCACCAACGTGGCTGAAACTTTTATAATAATTTTAAATAAGACACAACTCAGCATCATACTGAATTTTGCACCATATTTATTTTGCACTGAACATAACCTTTCCATATTAATGCCCTTTTGCACCATTATTTTTAAATTGTTTTTTTCTTTTCCTATACTGTTTACACGATGATCACTGCTGCACTTTAAATGAGAGTGTTCATTCCACTGTTAAAAGCTGTAAGCAACATCACTGTGTTTTCTATACACTCAGTCTATACAAAATGGCAATAAAGTTTGTCTAAGTCTAAGTTTACAAGTGCGAAGCCAGGAACAGAAGCATCGCTTTACAACGAAAATATTTAGGTCACATGTGCCTGCATGTTGTAAAAATACAATAATACTGAGTTATTTTCTTTTTAACCTGTCCAACGATACATTGTTCAAGCTCTTTATACACTAACCTTCACTCATTTTAGAATATTTAACAGCTTTTTAAAATCTTTGATCTTTGTTGACATGTTTAATAATCATCTTCCTAAAAAAAAAAAAAAAAAAAAAAATGTTGATTTGTAATTTTATTATCTTTAACTGCTGCTACTCACACGATATTCTCTAGTGATGTAATGAGGAATGGCTTCATAAACATTTCAGCCTGTTACCTCAAAACTAACCCCCTGAAAATGCATATGATTACTTAACTCTATATTTTTTCATAAATTGTTCAATTAATTAAAAAGGAATCCGTGTTTGTGTTCAGGACTAAATCCGGGGACAAGAGGTCTTATTAAGTTTCACATCTTCATGCCTCCTTTCAGACATAAACACTAAATCATACATATAACGTAACCACATATAGCAATATTTATAAAAAAAATCTTTGCATGTGTTAAATTAGTAATTATCAATAAAGTTGGTGAAATATTCTTTCACACTTTTATTTTTAAAGTGACATTTTATTATCAAATATTTTAAATGTTTTTGTAAATACTGAATATGACATTTAATTATCTAATGTTATATTTTACAATTGAATGGTGCATTTTTTAACACCTCATAGATAAATAAATAAATATTACATTTACTTATTTTTAAAGTATACTTATTTATTTAATGACACATTCATAAGTATGTATTTGAATATGTGATCTGGTGCTTCACTTCTAGGTTTACTTCACAATAATTGTAAAAACATTTTTAAACCATCTGCTTCTTGTTGGCATCAGTGATCCTCAACAGAGCGAACATCTCCGTAAAAGACAAGAAAAGGAAAAACACAAACATTCTGTATATTTGATCAACTTTCAATATAAATATGGAGCATGTAAAGGAAAGCTATGTGTTTCCACCTTGAAGCTTTCTCTCTTCGGTTATTTTTCGTGAGCAGAGATCAGTCGGGGCAAACTCTTTAAATTACACTTCATAAAGTATATGTATTACATAATCATGAGACATGACAAAAGTTTTTAAATATGGGTTTAGACCAGACATGGGCAAACTACGGGCCGTATACAGCCCGTTAAGCTTTTTAATCCGGCCCGCCGAACTTGTCCAAATTACCGTATTTTCACGACTATAAGGCGCACATAAACGTCTTTTTTTTGGTGCGATGCTCCCTATGTGTGTTGTAACTGCGACTTTTGAGACCACCTCATTGAGGAGATGATGAAAGAGTGGCTGAGGGAGGTGAATGTAAGGAGACCAGGTGGTTTTTTCCACTCATCACCATTGCTGTTAATCTGTGACTCTGTGCGTGCCCATCTCACAGCTGATGAGAAAAACATGGTGAAACAAATTAATGCTGTGCTCGCTGTGTGAACCGGACGCAGCAGGCGCAGCAGAAGCAGCGAGTTTACATGCAAAGTCAATGGTTGACGCGTGTATAGGCGCAGCAAAAGGTCCCGCAGCGCATTTTGAGCAGCAGGCGCAGCGCGTCGGGAGCGTTCTGACGCACCGCCAACGCGCTGCTGCTGCTCGAGATGCAAAAATTGAAGTTTTGCTGCTGGAAGCGCCGCATCAACCAATCAGAGAAGCTGGTCTGGGAGCTGACAGCGAGACAGACACAGCGCTCTGATGACATATGATATTAAGGCAAATGAAAAGGGCTGGATGGATGAGGAGATGATGAAAGCGTGGCTGAGGGAGGTGTAGCCTATGTAAGGAGACCAGGTGTTTTTTTCCACGCAGCACCATCACTGTTAATCTGTGACTCCATGCATGCCCATCTCACAGCCGATGTGGAAAAAAAAGGTGAACCAAATGAACGCTGTGCTCGCCGTTATCCCGGGGGATCTGACAAAGGAACTTCAACCGCTCGACAACGGTGTGAACAGGTGTCGAGGAGCCGCCCGGCACGGAAAGTGACTCTGACAGCAAAGAAGGGGAAATTGGCATGTCTGATTTAGCGCAGCTGTTTAATTCAGAAACAGAGGATGATGACTTTGATGGGTTTGATTAATACTTTGTAATAAATACTTGAATAAAGCACAATCATACTCAGTTTTGCTCCCGCTCTATTTTTCTACCTGAAAACTTCATTCAACAGCAGCCTCTGGGCCGGGTCGCCTCCGATTTCACCGCGGCGGCTGGCAGGTGTTTTTTTATCTAAATAATCTAAATCATGCAGGAATATTTGCTGTGATCAGTGGGAATAAAGTAGTTTTAATATGCTTTTAAGTGAGAAAGTCCACCTGAAAACTTAATAATTGCAGTCAGTTCATCCAGATTATCATCCTACCTATACTATTTCTGTCGGAGGTGCAGAATTGCCACAACGAAACTAACTCCAGACTTTGATGCACTGGCAAAAAAAGGAGAACAACAACACTGTTTCCACTGAAATGAGAGTTTTTCTACTGTGTTATGAAAAAAATAGCAACTTGCGCATTTACGCACAGCAGCGGTACAGTAGCTTAATTACATGCCGCACATCGCTCTCATTTTTAAGACCCCTTCCTTTCGTTGGGTAATAATATGTTCTGAATGTTGAAAGTGATTCCATTGATTTTTTTTTTCACTAAATGTTGATTTCTTTAAATTTACACCTTGCAATTGTCTGTTTTTTTATACATTTCAATCCCCAGGTTTAATAAATTACATTGCTTGTCCAAATGCTCCTGGCCCGGCCCTTCTGTCAAATTTTAGAACCCATTCTGGCCCGCAAGTCAAAAAGTTTGCCCACCCCTGGTTTAGACATTAATATGACATAGCTAAAGCTATCTAAACAAAGTAAATCATCTACAATAAAGGTTGCTACATGTTTTCATTCCCTTAGGAAGAATCACATCAGGTTGATAGTTATTGAATAATAATTGTTTTCTGATTTGGCAAATCATTCAATGCAATATCATTGAACCAAATAATGTTTTATATATTTTTTGAATATACAGTGTGAATTGGTTTTTACATTTCAATTTCTCTAAATTACTTTTAAAAGTTAATTTGACCTCATTCCAAACTCTTGAAGACAATCTTTGATTTTCAAACATAAAATCCGCTCGGACCTATGATATCATTGTGATCCATTTTACTTTGCTTTTTTCTTCTCTGTAGACCATTTAGTTTTAGCTAAGTTTCACCAGCCAAGTTAAGAAGTATGAACTGTTTGAGTGTAAAATATTTTTTGTCAATAAGTTCTTGTATTTGAATTCAAGTTGTGAATTTATCCCATATGTGTGGAGAGTTAATTTGACCATGTTTTGAGCTCAACACATGACAGTCCTAATCTATTTGAATAAATACTGAATAACAAAAAGTTACAGCTCCTCTCTTTCCAGCGTGTATGGAAGCACGATCATTTTAAACTGCCAACCAGTTTGTTTTTTCATAGCTTTAGTAGTTTTAAATGTTTTTATTACTAAGAATGTAAATATGAACATTCAATGTTGTAGCTGAGAAGCTTTATTCTTCAAGCTATTTACTGACTTTTGAAAATCAAATGACTTCAGTGTGATTTAATGTAGGCTGACACAGTCATGGCATACTTATCGATATTTAATAAGTTTTCATATGTTGCTGCAGTCTTGGAGTGTCTCCATGGCGCCCTTAGACCAAACTCGGACCTTGTATCTCCAAGCTCATAATAATTGTAAAACTATGTGTTTAATATACATGGATTGTTGCACCCCAGATTGTCCACTTGCTTATGTCATGCATCCATATATTTTTTCAGGAGAGGGATAGTGGAGATGCAATAGAAAGCGGAGAAACAAATACAGAAGAACTACTAGAGAACATGTTAAACTTGTAAGTAAGAGTTATATAAAAAAAATACTTGCATCCCCTCCACTTCTGAAATCAAACTTTCATCAATGCAACATATTAATGGTTGTATGTTATATGCACAGTCCGACGACTAGGACAGTTGGTTAGAGGATTAAATTGCACGGGCCAGCGCACATTTGT